CCACCGCCACCGCCACCGGCGCCGCCTCGGCAAAGAGGCGCTCCCTGTGGCCATCCGTGCTCCGGTGGATACCAACTTCCACCGACCACATCATCGCCGCCGAGAAACGCCTACTTTCCCTCGTCAGGTAATTAGAATTTGTTAAATGCTGAAAAAGAAAACCCTAATTTGTGTCGCGTTAGTCAGTTCGAGCTAATGATTCAGATTGGCGGTCAATTTGTAGGACTCCGTACCGGCAGGAGCTGATCAACATTGGGTCTGGCCCGCCGGGTTCCAAAACTCGATGGTTCCGTTCTGCAAGCGACGAGCCGAGGTTTATCAATACCGTCACGTTTGATGGCAAAGAAGGGTCACCGACACTTGTGATGGTCCATGGATACGCTGCTTCTCAGGGTTTCTTTTTCCGCAATTTTGATGCCCTTGCGAAGCATTTCAAAGTTATCGCAATTGATCAGCTAGGGTGAGTTTTGAATTCCATTTCGGGTGGTTCTTGCCATTTGCCGTTGGCTTGAGGACTTCGCAAATTTTCGGAGAAAAAATTAGGAGAAACTCTAGAAGAAGGGAAGGGTGGGGGAAAGGAACATCATTTTTCATCTATTTTTACAGTTGTTTTTCCCCCCATTTGCTTGTGAAATGAAGGTGGAATAGAATAACAAGATGTGGTTAGATAAGAAGAAGACTTAATAAATAGGTTTGATGTGTACTAACATATGGAAAATGTTGTTGTGCAGTTGGGGTGGATCCAGCAGGCCTGATTTCTCATGTAAAAGCACTGAAGGTAGTTGGTTCATGAATGTTAACTATCTTGTGAAAATATTGGTAGTTACTGATTTTCGGTTTCTATGTGGAAAATGATGTTTTATCCATCTTCGGGACATTTGCTGTGAATTCTGATTGTGAATTTTGATGCAGAAACTGAGGCTTGGTTCATTGATTCTTTTGAGGAATGGCGCAAGGCTAAAAACTTAACCAACTTTATCTTACTTGGACACTCCTTCGGAGGATATGTGGCTGCTAAATATGCTCTCAAGGTAGATGATTACTTTTTTGTTTTGTTTCGTATTATCAATTTATCAAGTTTAATGGCATTTCTCTGTGGGTGTAGTTACTTTACAATTGTTGATTTACCTTCAATGCCTTTGTACAGCACCCTGAGCACGTTCAACAGTTGGTTTTAGTTGGACCTGCTGGATTTTCTTCTGAAACAGAGCACATGTCTGAAAGGCTTACTCAATTTAGAGCAACGTGGAAAGGTGCTATTCTGAATCATCTATGGGAGTCTAATTTTACGCCACAGAAAATAATTAGGTACAGAGTATGGTTATTATCTTCTTGTTTTAGTTTTTAGCCTTTTCTAGTTTACAGTTTTAACAAGGATTACAAGTCTGGCAATAGATTGTATCACTACTCGTTATAGGTTGGAAAAAGTGTATTCTTTTGAGGGATTTGATTCCTTTTTTATTAATGCAGGGGTTTAGGTCCTTTGGGCCCAAATCTAGTTCGCAGGTACACGAGTGCTAGGTTTGGTTCATATGCTCAAGGAACTATGTTAACGGATAATGAGTCTAGTTTACTTACAGGTAGCTTTTGATTAACTTGTTTAATATCACTTCATCTTCAGTTTTTTTCTGATCTAGTACCTCTCTTTCTCTTTGTCGGCTGAAGATTATGTATATCATACTCTGGCGGCTAAAGCTAGTGGAGAGTTGTGCTTGAAACACATATTCTCCTTTGGGGCTTTTGCTCGGAGTCCACTTTTACACTGGTGAGTTGCTTCATGCCTCCTCTGCTGTGATTTATTAGTTGGGAATGCTTCCTAGTGTCACCTTTACGATTTTACCAGAAACCCTTTTGCCTCCATTCCAACTGTGGTGTTATTTTTTCTTACTGATGGACACTTTAGGAAGTTAATGCAGCATCTTATGTTGTGTCTTATGATTGGGATACAGATGTGGATTGGAATTATATTTTGAGAAAGAATGATCAGTAAAATCGGAAACCAGCAAATGAGCTTTCTTATGACTGCTTTGAACTATAGCAAGAGTAATCTTAGTTTGTTAATAAAGATTCAAATTGAATTAAGGACTTTATTGCTCACATCTGAAGTTGATAAAAAATATTTATTTAACAGAACTTCATCCCCTGCCAACCATGAGAAATGTAGAAAAATTAAAGGAAAAAAAAAAGACTTCAAAGCATTCTTGTTTGTTCCTAATAGGCAATAATTTGGTTTAGGAATTATGTGACTTTTTCTTTACGGACTTGGAGTTAGATAACTACGCTCTCGACATATTTATTGGTATGTGCATGTAGTGGTAGACAATTTAATGAAAAGTTTACCTATATTTGATGCTGTCAACAATGTGGTATGAATTTCTGCATATTGGAAACTGATTTATTAGTTGAACGACAAAATGCAAATGTGTTTGCTGGAACTGTGTTCATCCATTCAGTCAACTACTACACATTATTAAACTTCAAATAGCACAGATGCTGAATTTCTTCTAGGAAATTGATGAGATGCAGTGTATTTATCAACAAAATTCCATTCCTAAATTTGGGAAATAAATTTAACAAATTAGAATCTTTCGCATGCAGTGCATCTGATTGGAAGGTGCCAACAGCATTCATATATGGGTTCCAAGATTGGATGAATTATGAAGGAGCACAACAAGCTCGAAAGCATATGAATGTCCCCTGTGAGATTATTAGGGTTCCTCAGGTACACCTAGCAATTCAATGTCTCTGTGTGTGTGTGTGTGTGTGTGTGTGTGTGTGTGTGCGTTTTGTGGGCTACCGTCAAGATGTGACTATTTACTGGTAAGCAAATGTTTCCGCTGTGGTTGCAGGGTGGCCATTTTATCTTCATAGATAACCCGACTGGTTTCCATTCTGCTTTATTTTACGCCTGCCGCAAATTCTTATCACCTAGTGAGGACAACAATTTACTACCCGAAGGCTTGGAATCCGTCTAAGGGAAGGAATTTGTGTTTCAAATCTGTTCGGGATAATTACGAAAATTAGCTACTGTGGTTTTGCCTCATATTGTTTGTGCATAACAAATAAAAGGACCTCATCTGAGGCTTCAATTTGTACAAGAGAAACATTTGTACGAGACTATTTGTAAATTTTAAAAGCCACCGTATCTTTATTTTTTTGTCTTTCCATAATTAGGGTTGTGCTGTACCATCATCACATCAAGATGACAATCGTTATACCACTAGTTTGATGTTATTATCAAATTTAACCAACAGTAAAAAGAATTTGAAATTAATATCCAAGTAACACTTGCCAGTAAAAAGAATCACGAAACACACTTTTCATGATGGGTTTCCAGAGAATCTTAAAAATGGAAAATGCAGCAGA